GGAGCTGGACAACCTTTTTACCGTCTGGAAAAATATAGGATGTAACATGTGAACAGAGTAGAAGCCTACGGCGCTGATATTTTACAAAAAATAAAATCAAAAAGGTTGAATTAAATAAATAAATAAGTTAAAATCTATCGAAATTCAAATCATATCTACCCTACTTTAAGAACGGCAATGAAACAATTAATTTAGTAGGCATCTTTGATCTCGTCACTTCGCAGGGTCACAGGCTCGAGGGCAAAGTTTTTGTTAAAAATTTTTTTTCAAACGTTTAATTCAATATTTTTGTTTTTGTAAAATATCAGTGCCATAGTCTTCTACTCCGCTCACATGCTACACCTTGTTTTTTTCCAGACGGTAAAAAAGGTCATCCAGTATAGTTGGGACTTAAATATTTGTAAATTGTAGTTGTTTGCTCTTTGCACCCATTATAACTTCCTTGCTTACCTGGGGCTGGGTGGTTTGTTTGTGGTTGGTTTGGCTTGGGGCCCTCTGGTCTTTTGCTTAGCTACTCGAGCGCTGTTGTGGAGAGTTTTTTAATTGTTATTTACTGCTTACAGATGGACGTATTTTTAACTATTCTCCTATGGGAGATTGTCCTCCTTATCTCTATACTCCATGTCCAATACAATAACACACTGTGAGGCATTATATCTTAGTCCTCAGAGGTTGCAACGCATCTGTAGCCTTCTTTGTTTGAAGTTGGCTGGAGACAGCAATAACCACTTACCATCAGGTGGACTGAAAGTTCGTTTGGTATAAAATGCCTTGTGGCATTAAGGCCGCCTTTTTGTAAATTGAGTGCAAATATATCTCAAATAAATAATATTTTCCATTACTTAATCTTTTTTTGGGACAAGTACCTAACATTTTTATACGTGTTAAAGCCACGCTGCAGCTATATTATGGTTGTAGCACGAATGGGTCGACTTAACCGGGGAAAGACCCCGCTCTCTCAGAATACCAGCGTAAAATAGCAGCTTAATACTGCTCTGTTTCGTATGGTGAGTGTAGAGATCCGGAGACTCTTTTTAACTGGAAACGAGGCATTCCATCTTAGTTGTCAGGGGTGACAACGCATCTGCGTTTTGATTCTTAATTGAGGATAAATGTAGATGTCTATGGGCCACAGCATTCACGTACCAGCTGATGGACTGTGTGCCCGTTTGTCACGCTTATTCTATATAAAACAAAACATAATAAAAATGAATCCATCAATCCGTAAAGAAAAAAGATATATCAAAATAAATCTGCAATGCAGTCCAAATGCTTTAACCGTATTGACTCAAATTTTACTAACAATTACGAGTAAAATCGCACGAAGGGGCTTCGGCAAAATAAAATGACCGATAGTGGATTTATTTTGTATAGTATATAGTTTAAGTAAGTTGGTAAGGTTGTTGTTTTAAGTTTTTTTTAATAGTTGTAGTAGAAGTAAGAGTGAAACGGGGATACAGTTTATCTTATGGTAAGTGAACGCTGATGTCCATAGACCTATATTTATCGTCGATTCGGAATCAAAATGAGGCTATTATTAAAAAAATATAAAAGATAACGAAACAATGCATATGGTATATTTCAGTAGAGAAAGTGGTAACGTTATAAAACATGCACGAAGTCGATTGATGCAGGTGGCTCAGGGTACTTTGTTGCATTCAAGGGCGGTAATGACGATGTTTCAAATCAATAAACTATCTAACAAGTATCTAACATTTTTAAACGTGGTAGAGCCACGCTACAGCTATATTGGTTGTAGCACGAATGGGTCGGCTCGACCAGGGTCGGACCACGCTCTCATAGAATACCAGCGTAAAATAGCTGCTTGACTGTTTGACTTTTAACGACGACGTTTCAAATCAATAAACTATCTTCAAAGGAATATATTATTGTTGCTTTGTGTCTTTAGTAACAGGCTCACACCATATTAAAGTATATTAGTTCCGCCTAGTATATATTATTTTGGAAATATAACTATGTTATAAAGCTGGATTCGCAACTCTATCTGTGACCCAGAATGGGATGGCTCGTTACCAGTAAAAGTGTCCCCGGTTCCCACTAGTCGTAACACAAAGCACAGCAGTGTCATACTTATTTTTCAGGCTGGTATTCTGTGATTAGCCGCAGAGTAGCTTTTCGCGTATGCTATATCCAAAATAACTATGATACAACTCTTCTTCAATTAATACAATAAATTTTGTGTATATCTTAGTCGGTTCTGCATGGACTGATTGCTGGTAAAGAGAAGAACAAATAGACCATACCTGTGTGGTGTGATCATGATTGTGGATCTAAGTGGACGAAGTCCCTATCGGTCTACATAACTTTTCTTCATCCTAAATTGCAATAGAATTTACACGACTGTTTTGTTAGTTGGTCGCAAGTGCGACTGTTGACCTTGCGGTCCCCTGTTGCTCGTATACCTGGGTGGGGGCAAAATAAGTTATTGAGGTTTTTTGTCAAATAATTCATGGTAATTAAATTATTAAAGGCCGGCAACGGATCCGCAATTCCCCTGGTGTTGCAGTTGTTCATGGGCGGCGATAATCACTTACCATCGGGTGAGCCATATGCTTGTTTGGCCCTTCTCCTATACAAAAGAATAGTAACAGCGCGGAGTTGATCATGCGCCTGATTTCACTCCGATCATGTCAGGTTACTGTCTTATCAGACTATGAGTGTGAGATGATTAACATCGGAAAAGGGAGAGCACCTGTACTTGCACATCCACTCGTGAACTATAATTCTGTCCTGCACAGTCTTAACAGAGTAGTACAGAGTATAAGTTGCAAGTTTTATTTGTTTCCATGAATAAATAAATTTGATAGCTATAATATTGATAAGCTATTAAAATATCCTTAATAAGTATTAAGGTTATTTTAATAGCTTTAGAAAATTCGCATAGAATAGCGGTGGACCGTAAATAATTTATCGCAATTTATGATGTGTCATAAATTGCGATAAATTATTTACGGTTTGAAAAATCATAAAAATTGGTCTCCATTTTTATTACTATTTATCCACCGCTCTTCTATGCGACTTTTCTAATGTAATAAGCTTAATGATTTGCTTGCTTTGGTGATACGACGCCATTAAGTGACGTCCCGAATTAATTAGTTTAAGTAAATTCTTGATCGATAGATGTATTACTTCAGGTAAGTACTCTTAGCTATAAGGAAGCTACAGAGTAATGGATCAATGTAAAGATGACATTTTTCTTAAATGTTTACCTTTACGGCCTATCAAAAGCCACACATAGGCCCTACATATATAGGCCAGACATAGGCCCCACAGTTTGCCTCATAGTGGAAATATTTGCCATAGTATTGCCATGCTTGGCTAGCGGTTTGGCGATAGCAGGTTTTATTTTTATTCATCTGTTATCAGGAAAATGCTTCTGGTTCAGTTTCCCTCTGTCACCTCTAACGACATCCAGGTGATGAATCGAAATAGTAGATTTTTTACTATACTACCCGTGCGGTTAAAGAATGGGATTGGAAATGGCATCGCCTCTATTTACCTTCCGCTCGCACAATGTCGCTATCTATACTCACATCCGAATAAGACGACGGCAAAGACCACAAAAAAATTATGTTGCGATATGCTTTTTTCATACGTCCTATAACTTCAGCTGAACTTGTCACTGAAATCAATTATTACAAGCTCTCTTCACAATTATTGTTGATTTTGTTTGTCAATATTTTCGGATAAAATATTTATATGTCGTTGAGACATGAGTAACCATTTTAAAAAATTTTGTTTGTGTTTGTCTGAATTAATTTTTGAAATTAAACCGAACCGAAACTGAACCGATTGTAATAAAACTTCAAGCGAGTAGGTATACCAGGAGCGATCTAGATTAAATTTTATCCGAAAAATTTAGAAATTTTACGAAAATAGAAATATTAATTAGACGAATCAACTGGTCTTTAAAAAATTGTATAAACAAGCAGGTGCAGTAATTTTAAAATAACATTTATAATTATCGACCTGCTCAGGTTTCGCCTGGGTGAAATCTATTAACGTGGTTTTATTTAGACTTAACATTAATCATTAGAGACCATTACGATTTCTTAAATTTACACACTTTCTCTTAACACTACACATTGAATAAAACTATATATATACGGATTTCATCGCGTTTAACTTAACTTATTTTTAATTCCCAACGTTTCGGGTCAAGCTCACAGCGTTAAGACGACAGATTTCTGAATGCAAGACTTACGTATGTAGGTACACATACACTGACAGTCAATGATATTAAAAACTTACAAAATATAGTCGGGACGAGAAATTGTATTCTATTTTATATAAATCTACTACCAAAATATATATAATATTATTGCTTACATTGTAATAAAAATACAATATAATCTTAGTATAAGACAGAACGAAAGTCCGTACATTACATATCCGCCTTGCAATACCACTAAGGGTACACAAGGTATTGAATTCTATTTTCTATGAATATTCGAACGTTCATTAACAAAATTTATATAATATTATTGCTTACAGTGTAATAAAAATGCAGTATAAAATTAAAATACAGCTTACACTAAAGAAACAATAATTGAGTGGAATCAAGTCTCTAATGTCTTAGCTTGTTATAAGCCAACTGACAAATTTGAAAAAAGAATGAACGTCGAAAAAATATTATTGTTGGGAACATACGCAAATGTGTGTAATTTTTTTATGTCATTATTTTAATAAAAAAGATTACTGAAAAATAATTGTAGTAGTGAAAAATCATTTTTTCTTTACTTTTAGTGTATGTTTCTTTATTTCTTTTATTTAAAAAAAGAGAGAAAGATTTTTTTTCTTTTTTTACCATCAAGATTAATGTGATCTATTTAATGAAATCCTGGACGTCAGTCTAATCAATAGGGTACCGTGGAGATATCTTTAAATTTCAACTTTCGAATATCCAATACCTTTCAAATTTATAAAACATAGATGCTAAATTTATGTGTTTGATAACTAATTTAATTTTTTCTTCTCAGGTGTTCTCAAAGAAGGATGTGAAATAGCTGACACAATCACGCCGCAAACGCGCCGCGAACAGCGGTCATGACTTTACGGAGATAGTCCCAGGTGAGACATCAATTTCACTGCTTTAATAAACTAAAGTGGTCCACCATGAGACGTAAATCAGCACAAGATTGCTCTTACTCGTAACGCTCATAAAATAATAACATTTCTGCCATTGTATTTATGTATTAAAAGGCCTATGTTATTGGTTTTAGTGTAGATATTGTTCATTTCTAAATCTCTTTTTTATGAACAACGCTAGGCATAGATTATGAGTATGTAATATTATTTAGAGTGGTATTAATAAATGTACCAATTCGAACTTACTTGGATAAAAGTGGAAATAGATATATTAAAATTAAGTTTTAAATCATTTACCTGTAAATAAAAGTAAGCCATCACTAGTTCAGATGAAAAAAAAATTATTTGCATAATATAAAAGTATTAAACACGCTTTTGATTTAGTCTCCGGATATTTTAACCCGAAGACCGCCCGCATCGTATATATTGCTTTGTAAGTTCCCCGATATCATTGAATTTCACACAATTTTTCAACGGTATTTTTTAATTTATTCACTGAAAAGGATCTAACAGAAGGACTTAAACAGAATCGTATTACGATAGCTAAGGCTATTTTGTGAGTTATAGTTATAAATTAGTACTAAGTAGGTAGAGATTAAGTTTTTAAATACATAGTTTAAGAAGCACAAAAAAGGGAAGAAAAAAATTGGAAAAAAACCAAAAAAGAACAAAAAAAATCAAACCAAAAATACGGAGTCATATATTATGATAAATAGAAAAAAGGTAAAGATAAAAAAAACTAACTATTTAGATATAAGGTACAATATAATACTCAGAAATCGTAAAAGTACATTTAAATATACGCGGAGAGATGTAATAGTTTAGAAATTAAATATGTAATATTATAATAATTCAAAATAAATGTAATTAAAGGTACGTACCACGAGTCTGTAGAGTAAACGATTTAAAACCTAACAGAAGGACCTAAACAGAATCATATGACGATACCTAAAAGGATCGGGGAAAGGGTTCTTGCGGTTCGAAGCGTAACTCAATCAAAAGGCAGGCAGAAGCATCTTCCTGACAACATCATAAAGTAATTAAAAAATTACGGCAGCCGACTCGTCTAAACGTGGCAACTATGGCAATTAAATCTCTTATGAGAAAATCTATGGGATGGCAGCTAGATAGATATATTTTCTTCAGCGGTGGATTTTTGATTTAATTATTAATATTATTACAATAAGTGTGAACACCAACGTGAAATGGCGGAATAACGGTATTGTGTTTCGTATGGTGACTGTATAGAAGCTGAGGCCCTTTTTACTGATAAGAAGCATTCCATCTTAGTAGGACTACTGAACACACCGTATTCGATTAACTACGTACTTTGCGTCTTTCCCTACGATAACAATTCGTTTTGTATGACGGTCTTTAATTCAGAAGCATTGCTGAGTAAACTAAAGTTGTTTTTATTTTATTTTTTTCAAACCACACCAGTTAGAAAAAGTCAATAATTTAGAGAAGAAAAAAGTGTATAGAAGTGACTGGCCGCAAGGATAAGGATAAGAAAGAAAAATATACCATTTCAATAAATTAAAAAATTAAAAATTATTTAAAATTTATTTATCTAAGGAGACAGATACAACGCGTCTAAATTTTATTTCTTAATTGAGGATGGACGTAGACGTCCATGAGCTACAGCATTCATATACCATCAGGTGGAATGTGTACATATTTCTATAACTTATTAGAGTAATAAACGCGCTAGCAGTCCACCTGCTGGTAAGGATCTACTACAGTCCTTTGACACGTGCAACGAAGTTCGAACAAATGTGGCCTCAGTTGTTATCAATGAGGAATATTAAGATGGTGTTCCTCACAGTTTGTTATTGTACTGCCTCTCTTATTTTTTTATAGGAGTGGGGACAAACGAGTTTACAGCTCACCTGATGGTAAGTGACCACCACCGCCCATGAACAACTGCAACGCCAGGGGAATTGCAGATGCATTTCCGGCCTTTTAGAAAGGAGTAAGCTCTTTTCTTGAAGGTTCCTAAGTCATATTGGTCCGGAAAAATTGCCGATGGTAAACTATTCCACAGAGAGGCCGCGGAAGAAAACTCCTAGTGAAACCTTAACGTTCACGTAACGTTCTTCTTCTTCAAGAAGTAACGCAACACGGGTAATATTAGAAAATGGCTTGGTTTCTGGAAATATTGTATTTATTCGTTTTTAGAAGTTGATATCCCTATATTCAAAATTTGAAGCTTCTTTGTCTGCCAGAAGTGCCTTAGAGTTTTGATGATCAGTCAGTGAGTGACAAAATTAAGAAACTTTGACTAGTTATAATTCTTAAACTACTGGTTCAAATTGAACGAAATTGAAATATACTATGTTTATACAATGCCTACTTGGTTACTGAAAATTCAGGCTTCTAGTTATATCCACAACAAAGTTATAGGGGGTCGAAAATGGCCTGAACTGCTTCGAGAAAAGTATGGTACGGCCGTGCCGCTTTTTTGTTCGACTTGGCAGATCGTGCGCCCAGCGAAGTGAGTGGGTTTATATATAAAATTAAATATTGTGTGATTTTTTTAAAGTAATTTAGTTGTTACTATTACCATTACAGAATATCAAAAGCCTACTGCTGAATATAAGCCTTCATAAAGCCTCATAGGGGGAATTTTCGTCATAGATACCTCCCTCCGCAGGCTGATTGGCAACCGTACTTTTTATCGAGTTGTTATCCTTATCCGCACAATACTTCTGTCCATAAAAAAGGGGACTTTCAATGAGTGTTATTTACAATATATATTGAATAAAAAAGTTCTGTTTCCGTTTCATTTCCTGTTTAATTTTCATCTGTCGCTTCTTACGACACCCACGAATCGATTTGAGGCAGTGGATATTCTTATAACACCACGCACACATTTACTTGTTAATATATTGTATTATTCTGTATGTATTAAAAGATTCGCGTCTTTTACTCAAAAGTATTTTATAGATGGAGTATGCAAGTATTTAATAAAGTAATCAAACAAGCATTATGAGAAAATTGTGCAAAGAAAACCATAAAATATTAAGGACAATAAACAGTACAATTTCTAGAACATACATGCAATCTACAGAAACCTTTATGACTCCTACTATTACCGTAGGTATCCATTAAAATCTTTCTCCATGATGCGCAAGTATACATTACGACGCCTTTAAACCTTTACTTTTACTAGCATTAAAATTTCTAAGATGGGTAGTTTAGAATTTATTTCTTTATATTGTGAAAAGTTTCCACATAACTAATCCTTGTAAACTAAAGCATTACTAAACAACAACTAAAACCAAACAATTACACACGTATCACACATTAGACTTTCTTTCCGAGAGGCTTAAAGAGCGGTTTAATAAAAAAAAAAAAATAAGTTTGGATCAAACTAAAGAAAATTTTTTTTGAGTAATTTCACTGTAGCTAAACATTTGGTAAAAGTTAAAAACAGAATAATATGTATGTAAGATAGCAGCTTAACGCTGTTGTGTTTCGTGTGGTAGTGTAGAGAGTAGGAGACCCTATTTACAGAAAAATAGGCATTCCATCGTAGTCCTTAAGAGGATAGAGTAAGTCAGCTCAAATTCTAATTTCGCCCCCAATTCCCCGCGCGTCGTATGCTATGTACCGATATGTTTGTAATCACTAATACTGTAAGTAGAAAGGTCGTTAGACACTTATTTCATTAGGTTTATCATATTTATGCCTGTTTCTTAACGCCAAGCCAGCCGCTTCTTATTTTTATCACTGTTATTTCCCATTTTAATTTTACGTCGTACTGTTGCGTAATGTATATTCTGATCGTAAGCGACACAACTTCTCCCTTCAAAAGCCTAAGCGATACTAACGGGGCGACTGGAATCAAGCTCAAGACGCCGATAGTTTAGGTAATTTCTTTTTACAGTGAAAATAATGGTATTTTAAAAAAAGTAAATAACATAAGCACTGCTTTATAGTTAGTTCAGTTAGTATACAAAGTTTCATGATCTTATTTAAAGTATTTTATGAATAACAGCGGTTTATTGTTTATTTTGGAGGTAACTTTGGATTTTTTTCTATCGAGAAAATTTTACGAAATCGTGTTTTCGTCTAACATAATCATTAACATTAATCCTCAACTTTACCATATATTTATTTCAAAATTAATGATTGTGTAGCAATATTTTCGGCATAACGAAGGATCTTGCTAAGCCATTTGACATTATATTTCCCCTTAAGGATGACAACGAATCTGCACTTTGATTCGTGATCGAGTATAGATTTAGATGTCTATGGGCCACAGCATCCACTTACCATTAAGTGAACTGTGTGCTCGTTGGTCACCCTTATCTTATAAAAAATATGACTTAAATCTTCATTGGGCAACTCATATCTCTTTTCATCTCAAATAAAACACCCAGTGGGCATGGCGGCTCTCCCCGCCACTTCATCATTATTATAGAGGGAAGTCGAAACACCTTGAGTCTTTCCCCCTTCAGTCCACCAACTCAATTCAATAGTGGGCTCATCTAGTCCCGGATAGTCTCTCCACTACGACAAGACGGGAATCCATTCCTAAGCTTTACGTTTATCACTCGGAATTGATATAACGGGCATTCAACACATAGTAAAGAGATAAAACGGAGCTATCTAGGTCCTCGTAATATCTGGAAATCATTAGATAAAATTATCTTAAAAATATTCTTTTTAAATCTTTAGGGCAGGGATATGTTTTTTAGCTAACCGTGAAATTTCCTGTGTGTGTTCTTTCGATCCAGTTTGATCGTTGAAAAAAAGGGAAGATCTATCGCTAGGCAAGATATGCCTCCCGTGAGCAACCATTGCTTCGTCTGGTGAACCGAAGTATCATTTATATATATGCAGAGGCGTTCAGTAGCTTCGATTGCGTGATTAAGGCTTTAAATGTTTGTTAATTGTTGTTGACTATT